CGGGGGGCGGGGCTTCGTCATGTGCCCCGCCCCCGTACCTCACCCGGGGGAACTGCGATCCCCCGCAATCCCCCCCGAAATGACCTCTGTCTTTTCTCCTCTCCGTCTCAGCAAATCCGGACCCCATTAGCCTACACATGAAGTTGGGACACTCTCCCCGCCCACGGCACACCACTTTTCCAATGCAACTCGCTGTTATAAGGGGAAACATAATGCCCATAATCGCACTTGACAAGCGATATGCAGTTGTGAAATAGACTGACACATGTTCCCAGACTAAGCGCAAGATGACTAAACACCCCCCCACAAAACCCCTAATAAAAGCCTTAATTTCTTTTTAAAAGAGCTTGGCTTGCTTTCTTTCTTTCTGCATTTTTGGCAACGACATAATTGCAGTCTGCAAATCCTTTAATATGCCTCCAAATCGCTCTCCTCCTTGAAGAGGAGAGAAAATCCGGCTTTGACAGTTTTAAATGCAAACGGAGATTCCCACCTGTGATGCGTCAAGGAGAGGGTGCTATAGGGTGGGGAATTCCCGGAGATCTGGGGGCGGGAACTGGGGAGGGAGGGTTTGGACAGGGACCACGGCAGGCCCGTAGTGCCACTGCTGGGGAAGAAGGTGATTGGCTGCTACTGTAGCTGGCATCCTGGGCAATGCTGGGGCATGTGGATGGGCACGGTCCTGTGAGGCAGCATCTAGTGGGGGGGGTCCCCAACGGGGTGCCTGTGGGCCCGCCGATGCCTTTCCTGGCACCCACCGAGTGTTTTGAGAAAGTGGGTGGGGCCAAGTGGGGCGTCTGCCCAGCAAGGCTTCTGATTGGCTGCTGGAGATTTGATTGGCTGTGCGGATCTCTAAAAAATTTCCTTTGGCAGCGCCAGCCCCCACAGCACAAGCATCTTCCCTGTGTGACTGGAAGTAAACGGCGGCAGCCATTTTGCGATGGGCTTGGCCTCTTGAGGCGGCCATTTTGCAGTGGCCATTTTGCGGTGGCCATTTTGCGACTCTGCCCACCACGTGGTGTCAGGATTTCAAAGCAGTCTTCACGGATCTTCACAGTATGGTTGATTGTAAACTGGGGCAGCCGTTTTGTCGCCGGCTCCACCTCATGAGGCAGCCATTTTGTGGCAGCCATTTTGTGGCTCTGCCCACCATACCGTGTCAGAATCCCAAAGGTACCCACAGGGTGAAAAAGTTGGGGACCCCTGACATCGCCCCTTCTGTTCTATGGGCTAACTGTGGTTTTGGCTGGCATAGCTTTCCGACTGTTCTGGGCGGCATTCCAAAAAAATTAGAGAGCCAACCAACTCCCACCCTTTCCCTCCCCGCCAGCATAGGGGTTATGCAAGCAGGATTCTGTGGCATTGCCCCACCACAACCCAGCCACAGAACCACAAACCAAAATTTAGCCATAACCCAGGGGTCATTTCCTGCGGGAGTGCACAGGAGCGGAGCTCCGGCAGTAAAGAGCCCAGGGGGTGGGCACATGCAACAAGCCCCACCCCCTGCTCCCAGCAGCCCTCAGTCAGAGCAAGAAGCAGCCAGGTAAGTTGCAGAGCTCCCCCCTCCCGGCCCCCCGGTCCAAAACAGTCCAGTGGCACCTTTAAGACCAAGTTTTATTCAGGTACAAGCTCT